CTTTCTATCCACACAAATTTCGTAATTATTTACTCAGTAATAATAACAAAAGAACAAAAGAACAAAGATTTTTATTAAGTACAATGGTCAAAGTAATCTCTTCAAGAAATATAATTCTCTCTATTCTTAAAAGTCTCCAAATTACAAATATCCTTGCAAGCATCTATATTTGCAAATTACACAGTACTTATTAATCACATAATATATAAAAGTACATCTCATATGATACATTGACATCATTTAAACATGTTCATAATACATGTATACATTACACAGACAAGTTTTTTGCTGTTGAGAGGGCAGTTCTACCCAGAATACTATAACTGTTTACTATTCGGTATATTTGAAGACTTTCACCTATCCTCCAGATTCCCCCACCCAGAGTCGTCCTAGATCGTCAATACTTAATCTATCATAGTCATCCAGACTACGGAGAAACTGTCCGTCCTGATCGATAATATGGATGCATTTATTCCCATTATCACCCACCAGGATATGACCCATGGCGTCCGTAATAATGGTACATGGAATAAACTTTCCTTTTATCGTTTGCATTCCTTTATATCGGAATCGGAGTTTCCCCTTCTTGTTGACCACAACAATGGCTTTGGCGTCCATGTGCACGTCGCAAGCACATACATATCCCCATTGACATTCTCTGCCACGTAAAACATTCTTTCTCCTTCATTAAATAAAGAATTCCCCTGGTCATCTTTCTCTATCTCCTGCTTAACTTTTTGTCCTTCGTGGCGCACAATCTTATAAGTTCCCTAACAAGACGTACCCATAGTGACCAGCAAGTCGCCTGATTTTGTACCGCAAAGTCCTAGCTAGCGGCTCCCATCCTTTTTGCACCGTGATAAAGTTGGTAGATTTGCCATCTCTGACAATATTAACAGATCTTTTCATTCTATCTGTATATAATAGCTTTCCGTTTTTTTTTAAATCAAAATGTCACTCAGATGACCATTCCAATCCACACAACTAGACATAACGGTCTCCAGTATGAAATACTGTGTGTTTATTCGTTGGATGATTGACTTTTCTTTATACGTTATCCAAGCTTCATCAGTTCCAAGACAAGCCATCTACCTCAAGTTGTTCTTTTATTTTGGGTTGACCCAAGATCACAGGAACAGTAAGTACTCCAAAGAACGAGGGCGCTTTTGATTGTCATTCGGAAGGAATCTGGGCCTACTTGAAAAGTGAAAATTTCATTGATCTGTCACATGAATTTTTAGCATTCTTTTGATGTATCGGGTTTCTGTGAAATAGGAAAGGAAAATAGTTTCCCGATATTATATTTTGATTTGCTAAAAAAGAACTTGAAATTTGGCTAGATGAGTCAGTTGGTACAAAATGTTACATTTTCAAACACGTTTTTCTAAAAATTTGCTACCTCTGGGTCATCTCTCCATGATTTTGAAACGTTATTTGTGTGCATCTTAATTCAAAGAAACTAACAAACATTTGTAAATAAGAATAGATATGGGTTACCTCATATCCATGATATTCGACTTTTAATTAGTCCCCTACCGGTGAAACCGGAGGGGACTATAGGTTTCCTCTGAGTCTGTCCGTCCGTCCGTCTGTCAGTCTGTCTGTCTGTCCGTCTGTCTAGCTGTCCCTCTGTCTGTCTGTCTGTCCCACTTGGTTTTCCGCACTTTTTTTCTAAACGCTTGCAGATATTGATCTGATTTTTGGTACGTGAGTGTATTTTGATGAGTTACAGATCAACTTTGCATTTCGTTCCGCTTCAATGATTTTGACGGAATTACAACCTTTTTCAATTTTTCAGGGTTTTCCGCAATTTTCTTCTAAACGCTTGCAGATATTGAACTGATTTTTTGGTATGTGAGTGTATCTTGATGGGTTACAGATCAAGATTGCATTTCGTTCTGCTTCAATGATTTTTGAAGGAAAAACGACCTTTGCAATTTTTCAGGGTTTTCCGCAATTTTTTTTCTAAACGCTTGCAGATATTGAACTGATTTTTGGTATGTGACTTTACTTTGATGAGTTATAGAACAAGTTTGCATTTCGTTTCACTTTATTGATTTTTCACTGAATTTTGGCATTTTCAATTTTTAACGGGAACCAGATTACACTTGCCGGTAGGGGACTATTATTGCTAATTCAATACTCATTGATAATGCAATAGTCTCAGAATGCTTGTTATTTAATACTTAAAATAAGAACATGCTCAACTCTGCGACCAAAGTGAAGCTGCGTCCTGCCGTCCTGATTAAATCATATTATCATTTTGATAGAGGGCGACCATTTAATAGATGGGTGGCAAATTTTGGAAATAAATAATCTGTCTTCAAATAGGAAATAAATAGTCTGTCCTCCAGGGAAGAAAATAAATAATCTGACCATGACTTGTGGTATCTACACCCCTCACACAAAACTCTCTTTAACCAACTTGAAAAAAAATCTGTCTTTTGAGTGCAGATTTTTTTTTTCCAGTAAAGATCGTTACTTCCCCATCTGATTAAACATTGCAACGTCATAACATTATGACGATGACGTCATAATACATTTGCTTTGCAACATAGGAGAGGCGTAAAAGGTAAGTGTTCATAAGCTACGTCAGTTTCTGTACGTCACATATATAAGTGCATTTCAAAAACGAACAAATAATGGTGATTTAAGGTATTCGAACGCCTAATAATGATTTTTTTTTAAAAAAAGATAATACACTTATGTTTTTGATCCCGAGTTTATGTAGACCTTTAGAGGCAATTATATTTATCGTAACGTCATGATATTATGACGTCTCAGAGGTCTTTGACGATGACCTTATGACATCACAATATTATTTGCTTTGCAACCAAAACAAAAGAAAGGCGTACAAAGTGAGTATTACAAATGTGTTGTAAGCAGCAAATTAACGAATTCGTTTCCTTAAGGTTGAATGATACCGCTGTTCCCTTTCTTGGGGAAGGCAATGCTGGCTATTTATTAATTGATTCGAGTGTTCTTAGTACATTTCCCCAACATGCAAGAATTAGCAACCGTATGGACGTCGTCTGAGGAGCACAAAGGAGTCAAACTCTTTTTAAATATACATCATCCTTAAATCTGCATCGACTGGGTATATAAAAAAATTGTAGTCAGCAAATAATCCTTAACTACAAGTACAAGTGAAAGGGGGGGGGGCACATTTTAATAACACAAGAGACAACAGGAATTACATGTACTTAGGAATTGTCAGTTTTCCTTGTGTATTTCAGAATGGCGTTTGAAATAGATTACGGAGAGGTGTTGGATTTTGGTGAGGAGGCAGTAAAGAATGTGGTAAGATTTTTTGCTGAATCGACAATCATTAAAAATAAAAGTCCCCCTCCTTCTTATCTTTATTTGAAAAAAAAAAACATTGTACATGTATATTTCATCCATACTAAATTGAATATTAAGATTAAATTAATTTGTGGAGCATTTTCAGAAAAAGTACTGGATCTAAATCATTATTTCAATAACTACATAGCCTTTATTTTTATATGCATCATATCGTACTTGTTTCATGTTAAATGTAATCGTGTACGTATGTAAGCTTTTCAGGTTAAGGATCATAAAAAAAAATTGCAACAAATTGATACTGCGATAGTATAGACCCAAACTTTTTCTATCAACCTATCTTTTTCTAGGACGAAAAGATGAAGATTTTGAAGTTTGAGTATAACTGGGTGGATGTAGTAGAAGAGGCAGAAAAGCAAAAAGAGGTATTTTGTTAGAAATAATAGCAATTTACATTTAAACACTTTACAAAACATGGTTTTTAAGTGGCAAAATAGCTATAAAATTTGACTACATGGAAAGAAATCAAGAATAAGTTAAGACTTACTATCATTACCAACATCTTTTTTAAAATATGTGTTTCAATGGAGATGCTCAAAAAAGACAACAATTTTTTTTTTGCAGACAAAGGTCGAAATGAAGAGACGCGATCCACAGAAAATTCTAAAACGGAATCACGAAAAACGAATGGTAAGAAAAAAGAATTGCGCATTTTTATTAGTCTCCCACTCGGCACACCTCGGCCGATTACGTTTGATGTAGGGTACCGTAGTCAGCCGAGGTGAGCCGAATGACAGTCTCCTTCTCCGTTTGTGGACTGATGAACTTTTAAATGAAAAAAAATGTGTTGTTGTTTATTGCAGAGGGAAATCGAAGACAGGAAAATTCATTCCTTGGGATTAAACCAAGTACATTAGGAATTGCTGGTAAGCATATAGAATAATATCGGCATAAAAATTATGATAAGAAAGTAAAAACATACTTTTTAAAAACAAACCAGTGTTAAAGTAAAATTAAGTCCCATTTGTTCTATTACAGAAAATCTTCAATGATAAACAGAAACAAAAAGCAAAGAGAGATCATCAGAAAATATTGAAGCACAAAATAAAGAGACGCGACCCACAGAAAATTCTAAAACAGAATCACGTAAAACGAATGGTAAGAAAAAACAAAGAATTGTGCATTTTTTTTTGTTAATTAAAAACAGTCTCCTCCTCCATTTGTGGACTGATGAACTTTTAAAAAGACAAAATGTGTTGTTGTTTATTGTAGAGAGAAATCGAAGACAGGAAAATTCATTCCTTGGGATTAAACCAAGTACACAAGGAATTGCTGGTATGCATATACCTGTAGAATAATATCTGCATAAAAATTATGATAAAAAAGTAAAAACATACCTTTTAAAAACAAACCAGTGTTAAAGTAAAATTAAGCCCCATTTGTTCTATTACAGAAAATCTTCAATGATAAACAGAAACAAAAAGCAAAGAGAGATCATCAGAAAAATATTGAAGCACAAACATAAAATACTTATGGTAAGAAATCACATTCAGACGGACATATCTACAATTTTTTTTTTAGAAAGGCACAAGCAGAAAATGAGCTACATGTAATTAAATATCTAATATCAAGCTGTGTTGCTTTTCCCTTGCAGAAAAATATTGAGACGAAACGGGAGACAGAAAAACTGATCATGGCTGCATACAAACAATTAATGGTAAGAAAACAACGAATCTCTATCTATAGATTATAGATGTATGCAAGATGCAGTAGTTTTCATGATCAGAAATAATTTTAAAAAATAGTGACCGTTTGTATATTTTTCTTTGTAGCAAAGGATTAAGGCTAAGCATATGCACAAATATTTACTGATGAATGTCCACAATGAACTACTGGTGAGGACACACTAATGTTTTACATTTGGCATCGCTATAGCTGATGTAGACAGTTTGTTTCATTTAATTTTTATCTTTGGTTGTAAACTTCTGTACAGATATAAGTAGAATAATGTAACAAATCCTTATTTTGTTAGCATTCAGACTGGTAATTCATTCATTAACGGTATTCAAACTGTCTATAATTGTTTATAACTTCTCTATTTAGAGTGTGGTGAAAAAGGAAGGCAACACAAGTACATATACAGATTTATTTGGAGAGAGGAAAACGCTGTCGAGTTCACTACAGGTACAATTAAGATACAGAGAAAAACAAACCATTAATACATTAATGTAGAATTTTCCTGACATACATTTATTGGTTTTATTTATATAGAAAAATTTATTATATTTCAGGTACTGGCAGACAAAGGAAAAGAATTAATTAACAGAATCATGTAGTGTTTTGGTTTTAATTAAAAAAGTGCCTACACCCATGGTGACATTTGTTTCATTAGACATAAAACTTTTATTGGATTAAACTTAATTAACCTTTAAACGAGTTTCTTTTTTTCCCTCAAACTTGTTTGGTATGTTACGAGATGTGAACTTATGGAGTTATATGTAAAACAGCTCATATAGCTTTAGAGAAAAGTATTAGAATACAAATAGGAAAGGCTAACCAATATTTAAAAAAAAAAATGAGAAGGGGGTCCATCCCCAAGTGCCTTGGAATAATAATACTAGTATCTAAGAATTTTCCTATGTACTATATGTATTTCGTATGTAAAAAATTGAATCTTATTGTTATATCCTGGAAATATGTGTTAGAATATGTTTACATGCATCTGTAGTCGCGACGAAATTTTATAAACCTGTGGTTTTTAATTAAAAAAAAAAGAACGATTTCAACGTGAAAGATATCTCATAATAGAGCCAAAATTTCCCCTCTTTCTTTCTCAGAATATGATTTCCCCCTTGTATCAATGCTTAAATAATATCGGCAAAAGTTTATATGAAAGTCAACTGATTTTTTAATAAAATTATGAGTGCTTTCGATTTTGGAATTGTCAAATTTAGAATAAAATCTTAAAATATATAGTTCAAATCAATGAGTCTAAACCCAAAATTTTTACTCATAGAAAATTTTAAAATTAGTCACTCAAAATATCGTAAGACTCGATGTTTCAACTCCTCCCTCGACGCAAAGATAAACTGTTTTAAAATGTATATCCGGGTTCGAATCCCACTGCAGTAGGAGAGACCGGTCCTTCGGATGAAAATGTACACAAACCGAAATCCCGTGTCGCAGTAGGTGCTGGCACGAGGGGGGGGGGGGGGATTCTGCTCTATAGCCAGTGAAAAGACTTTATTTGAGGGGGAAATCCTACTATACAAGACCTGTCACCGGTATAAAGAATTAAATTTTTCAGTGTAGTCTACTCGTATACCCAGTTATATAATTGGACTTAAACTGGAAGAGGAGTGGCATTTTTTACAGATTTTACAGACATTTCTATTTTAAATAACCATTGCAAAACCGGTCATCAAATTAAAAAACCGATATAAAGAATTATATATCATAGTAAAGTTTACCCAGTCATACTGAAATCAGATTAAAACTGTAATAGGAGTATCATTTTGAATGAATTTTACAGAAATTTCTATTTTAGTAACCTTGGCAAAACCGTCAGTCAAAATCAAAGACCTGAATAAAGAAACATGTATTTTAGAGTAGTTCAATATTTCTCATTGTCAACTTTGTTTTTGTTTCATATAGTACAGTGTTTTTCTTGTCAAGGAATGCCTATATATCGTCTTCTTCAATATTAAGGAATTGGCAAGGTTCCTGGCTTTCATATAGAATTTTTCAAGATCTTCGCCTCGGTCAATATTGATATTTTTCTGGTGAATAACAAACCATATTCACTAATGAAAGAGTCCATAATTGTATATTATTCACTGAATTTTATGACAAAATGTTGCTTTATTGTAACGCTGGTAGCGCACCATACATATGCACACCAGTATCAGAGTAACGTCCCTTGACATTAGCAACTTACGCGCGGTATAGTTTTCATGTGTATTTCAAGATTTAGTGAGTAAACAAAACCATTTCAAGCTGATACATTATTGAAACACATGTTTTATTGTTGATGAGTGACATTTATTGTTTACAATTCTAAGTATTTAGTTTTGTTTTCAACCTTCATCAATAACTACACCGGTACCGTAGAACCCCGGCATATAAATTATACACTTATTTCATGACTACGAGGGGAACAGTCAAACTGTTGTCCCGAGGTAATGGGGAAGACCTGGGAAACTGTTGCCCGAGGCCGAAGGCCGAGGGCAACAGTTTCCCAGGTCTTCCCCATTATCGAGGGACAACAGTTTGACTGTTTCCCGAGTTGTCATGAAATAAGTGTTTTATTACCTAACCTACTATATAATTTCTTAAAGTAATGATATCGACATAATAATCAATGGCTTTTAAAATACATTGACAAAAGTTTGTATTATTTTTTAAAACCAAACTAAACAAGATGAATATTAATCAAATATTCACACTGATTGGTGAAAAATTAATGGGTGTGATATTATCATGCACTAATAAATTGGGGAAAAAAAGCATGTAGTAAACAACATAATGATGTCTTAAAGATTTGAATATTGCACGTTTATGGCAAAGATCTATACTGAATGAAAGGGGCCTACATTTTTCCCAAACTACCCTCAGAAAAGGTGTTCATGGCCTCTTCTTTGAAATGATATTAAATTGAATATATATTTAAATTGGTATCAGGTTTACTTTTCAGATGATAATTTCGAATTGAATAAAAATGCTTCAATTTATATATAATTCAATATTATAGCTGTAAAATACGGGAAATTAACTATGATGTCATAATGAAACAGTTCAGCCATGCAACAGTTCATTCTGTGACCGGGTAAACAGTTTTGACTGTTTCATGATTTGCAAAAACATTAAAAAGAATCAGGAAACAGTTCAAAATGCCTAATTACAATTTATATAGTAGGTTAGGTAATAAAACGATCTGTTGACTCTCTGTCCCTTGAGTACAATATCCAATAGAACTACCACTACTTTTCTTTCTTTCTGTAGAGATGATTCTACCCGTTGAAGGAAGCATACGTGCTTTTGTTTACCAATTATAAACATAATTTCATTGGTTTTCACTGCATAGAGAATTTTACACGGGCGATCACTCTCAACAAGTTAAATTGATGCAAAGCATCAAAACAGCCGCAAAAATATATTTAGTATTTTGAAGTATTTCCACAATTAAGAAAACAAAAATACTAATAGAAAAAATATGACACATTAAATTTTTACACTTGCTTTACTTTTCTGTGCATTTTTTAAACTTTAATTTTCAGTGATCAATTGTTAAATCCAAATAAATGAAAATCGGATTAATTGAGATAAAGGATAGGAACTTGTTATCATCAAATCACAAAATATAGCAAATACCTAAATGCTGACAAAAAGGACGTACATGTACAAACTTCACGTAATCAGTCTGATAGTTATCCAGGATTTTTGTCACAATGCCGATCAGTGTTATGATAGATAATTATCCCAGGCGCGTAGCTGCCTATACGCAAATACGCAAGTGCGTACACATTATTTTCAGAAAAAAAAGAGATAAGAAAAAAGAGAGAATTATTCGGAGAAAAAAATCTCAGTACCATCCAACAAATATTCGTGTTTCAAATTATTCTGTGTCATACTGTGTCGATTTAAATTTTAAATTATCATGGATGTATGAAAAATTTGAAATCTTTTATTATAAAACTGCCAAATCCAAATAAATCATTCATTATTTTGTCATTGTTCTATTATACATCGATATTTTTTTAAAAAATTAAGTTTCAGCTACATCGTTAAATGCTATGATCTACTAGTATGATTTACAATACGATATTTTTTTGTTCATAATTAAAATTTTGTATACTTGTTTTTAAACGTTAAGAATTAATGATTATATGATACCAACTAATATATCGGTTAAATTTTTAGCCTCAATTATATGTTCAAGTTTCCATGGAATATTAATTTTCGTTAAAACAATAAATATTACTGTCTTTTATTTCCTAAACAAAAACTAAATGGCATAATTTTTATATTTCAAGAAAATGAACGAAATATTTGGTAAAACTCCTGAGCTTCTGGGTCTGGGCCCTCACCAGCAGGCACGTAGTATCAAGGGGGCCTCCCCCAACTTATTCCCAAAACCTAACCTTTTACTATTGAAAATGTACATTGAAAGGGTGGACCCCCACTGTTTGTTGCACCATTGTTAAATCATGGTAATTTGGTAATGTATTAATAAAAATTTGGTTTGTGAAAGATGGACACCCCCTTCCCCCCTCATTAAACACACACCATACACACAAGAAATAGGACTTTGAATTTTGACAATCTTCCTTTTTCGTCCTTGCTTGACAAAATTTTTAAAGTTGTATTTTTTTCCTGGCTGGCAAAAATTATATTACGCCTGACCAGAGCCCTTAGACACGGGGGGGGGGGGGAGGGGGGCTCAAGACCCCCCTCCCCACCAAACCCCCTGCCGTTCTCTGTGTACACATCATTTCTATTCTGGCTACGCGCCTGTATCCCAACAAATGTGAAGTGCAGAAAAAAAATCATTGTGTCATTTACAACTGTAGTGAATTCAAAACAAAATTCAGTTTCCGGAAACTCAATACGTTTTGTTTTTATATCCTACGCACGCCCATGTTGGGGAGCAGTTCATGAAAAAACTTTTTATAAAGTTATAAATTAATAAATATCTGATAAGAAATGAAAAACAAATTGAAACGTCATAACAACCATTTAGACTTAGTAATAAGCAAATTTTCAACATTTTTATTCATAACTTTTATAGGTGTGATGAATAAGAAATTATTTCAACGAAGAAATGAAAAAAAAAATAACGTCTCATTTCCCCATGTGCTCGTTCTAGCACAACCACAAATAGATCGGCCGTTGCTGCGGCCGATAATCAGAGTTTTTTTAAGTGAAAAAACCCATGAATCAAACCTTTTTTTCTCCGGATAACCGTGACTTGCTAATGTCCATAAGCCTTTAGGCTTATTTGTGAAAAGGTTTTTAAAAACTTCTCCTATTCTTAAAAAAAAAAAAAAAAAAAAAAAAAAAAAAAAAAAAAAAAATCAGTAATTAAAGGAATTTTTCCTAACCAAAATTTTATTTAAATGTGCTGTAGCAACTTATCTTTTTGTCAGAATGTGTGAA